CGACCTTTCCCACCTCCCTTTCCCATTCTGACCCTGAATCAGGCTTCTTGTCCTGGCACTGAGCATGGCAATTTACTTTATTAATGTACACACGGGGGGGGAAATCCATCATTTCTGTAGTCTGATGGAAGGAACGTCCGCAGGCTTGGTGCTCTCACCTCACCTCTGTCTTCACTGGCGAGAGGAGTTGGACCGGTAAGGGCGGAGGCAGGAAGCTGTTTGGGCACTAAGGTGGCTGGGATGGGAGGAGGTGTGATCTGAACCTGGTGGTTACAGCTGCCCCGGGCTCTGAGTTCTCTGTCGTGCCTAGCCCTTTCGCTGCCTTTTCTCTTTGGAGTTGAAGACCAACGGACACAGGCCTGTTGGCGGACTGAGGGCTTTGGATGCTTGGAAATTGTGAGTCCTTCTCTGAAACATTTCTCTCTTCACATTGCTCTTCTGGGGGAGAGTTCTTGATGATGGCGCCAGGTGAGGGACCCACAGGAATGACACCAGTAGGAACAACTGGGGCATGTTCTGGGACAGCACCGGTCACTCCCAGAAGCCATGGTCCTACAGCACAGGAGGTTCACTAGGAGGGCACAAAAGGCAAGGCTACTGGCCTCGACGGCACTAACAGGAGGTAGTTATGAGACCAGGATATCTAGAGGAGGAAACAAAACTTTGGTTGAAGCTGTGGGCATTGCAAACACTGTGAGGAGAGACAAATCACTTTCTGGGAATAGAAAAGTAAAAAAAGGGGAAAATAGCAGAGATCCAGCCTGATTCTGGAAAAAAAAAAAAGAGAGAGAGAGAAAGATTTGTTCTTTAATTTCCCTTTAAAATGGTAAAATAGCCTCTAGAATCTTCAAGTCAGTTACCACATCACCATTCTTATCTAGCGGGTCAGGAGATGCTCCTGGTTCAGACGCTCCATGGTTCACATCCACGGCCACCAGAAACTCATTTTACCTGCACAACGTCCATCTTCCTGCATCCCTGCAGCCCCAAACGTTTGCTGCAGATCATTTACGAGCGGCCACTATGGCCGGCCAGAGACAAGTGGTCATGACTACGAGCATGAGCTCAGGAGCTCTCACGTCCTGTGCGTCCTTGAAGCTACTTAACTTCTCTAAATGTTGACTTCCTCATTTGAAAAAGAATAGCAATGGTGGTCCCCACACAGAGTTTCTCTGGGGACTGAGATAATGTATGCAATGCCTTTGGTACACCAAACACAAGTGTGTCTTGGTCCAGTCCATGCTGAGCTTATCACCGTCAGCACAGTATCATCATCATCATCATCATCATCATCATCATCACCATCATGAGGCAGCTACCATTTATTCAGTAAGGCACCCCTCATTAGCAAGATTGAATCATCCTTCAAATCCTACAAAATAGTCTATTTACCCCCTGAAACTCAACTGTTGGCCCTGGGCTTATTGACCAGCGGACTTTGAAAGCGGATCCAGAAGGATGATGAGATTACAGTGATTTGAGGAGCAAAATGGAGACATTCCACACAGACCTGCCCTATGCTCAGGGCAGAGCGGTAAAGAGGGAGAAACACCGCACAGTCTGTCCAGAGCCCATCACTTGTGTGAGACTGCGCAGGTCACTCAGTGTCCTCAAACCTTGATTCTCTTCATCTGCCACCTGAGGATAAGGTCATGTCTGCCTTGCCAATCTCACAACATTGACCTGAGGATTAGATGAAATATAGTACCTAAACTTGATGCATGGAAAATCTTACTATTATACCTATGAAGAGAGCCCCTCATCCATCATTGGGACCCCCACTCTGTTCTTTCCTCCTTCTCCCATCATTTGTTATGAGGAAGTACTCTCTTTTTTTTAAGATTTTATTTATTTATTTTTAGAGAGGGAAGGGAGGGGGAGAAAGAGAGAGAGAGAGAGGGAGAGGAAGAGAAACATCAATGTTCAGTTGCTGGGGGCCATGGCCTGCAACCCAGGCATGTGCCCTGACTGGGAATCGGGCCTGTGATGCTTTGTTCGCAGTTCGAGCTCAATCCACTGAGCTACACCAGCCAGGGCAGAAGTACTCTTCTCACACCACATCCTGCCCCATCTGAAAGCCAATCAGCTCTCCACTGATAGGCCTTCTGCTGTTATACAATGAGACCTCTGCAGGTGTGCCTTGTAGGTAACAGTCCTTTGTGGTCTGATCAGTTGTAAATTAGAGAAACCGTTATTTGGCCTAAAAGCAGAGGGCCAGCTCTGAGATCTGGGGACTCCACATGGTATTCTAAGAGGCCCTGCCTCGTCTCGGCCGTCTCAGCTGCCGCCTACAGAAAGGCCTTTACCGAAGAGCCATTCATTATGCCCTCAGCTATAACTGAAGGTTAACCTTAAACACGCCATTCAAGAGGAAAATCGTGTGGCTTTAAGAGCCTGGGGTTTGGGAATCAGAAACATTTGACTCAAAAGTTACACCACGTAAAAGCCATGGGACCTCCTGAATGTTGAGCCTTATGCTCTTTGAGCCTCAGGCTTTTTTTCTTCTAAAGTACACAGCTATGATTGGACTCAAGTTAAATATATATTTAGAAGAGTGTTGGCACCTATAGAGTAGGCTAGCAAAAAAGGGTAACTATTACCATCATTAATATTTATTAAAAAACATGTCAGTGCCTTCAGCCATTGTCCACTATGGGAGTAAAAGTCTATAGTAATAGACAACAAATGACCGCATGACAAAGTGTTCTTAGCAATTAGGGCCCAAGAAAGAAGTCTGTCCTAAAAAACTGTCTATTCACTAGACGAGTAAACTTATCTTGACTCATGTAGGAGAAAACATCAAAACTTTCTCTGCCTACAAAAATCTCAGAGCTTCTTGGGGAATCTGGACCCAAGATGGACTTTGCTAAAGAATAATGAGAAGCACCTGATGTCAGAGCTATGCACCAAGGTTCAATTGAGGGAGAAGTTCTCCTCATTCCCAGCTGCCTACAGCCCAAACGTGCCGCTGAGTGAACTATTCACGGGAATGCCAGCCTGTACAAGGAGGTGCCAAGAGCTGAGGGAACGGAATAACCAAGACTGGGGGGTGCCCAGTCTGTGGGAGGTGGGGCACCAGACCCCTGTCCCCAGGGAGACCCCAGTCTGATGATAGAGGCATAGTCCATGTCCTTAGGGAGTATCTATTCTTTTTTTTTTTTTTAAAGATTTTATTTATTTATTTTTAGAGAAAAGGAGGGAGGAAGACAGGGAGAGAAACATCAATGTGTGGTTGCCTCTTGCATGCTCCCATCTGGGGACCTGGCCTACAACCCAGCCATGTGCCCTGACATGGGAATTGAACCAGTGACCCTTTGGTTCGCAGGCTGGTGTTCAACCCACTGAGCCACACCAGCCCGGGGAGGGGGGGAAGAGGGGGAGGAGGAAGTATCTATTCTGACTGGGGAGGCAAAAAAGACCAAAACAGAATGCTGTTTGGCCTTTTCTGCTAAGAGGTTCAGAGCCAAATTCATTGGTCAATGCAGGACGCACTTGATCACACCCTGTTAGCATAATCATCTCCTTTTCTCTGTGTGACTTCTGAGCATTGTAACTTCATTTGAACAATCATATTAAATAAAAACTTTCATTGTCATCTGCTACACCAGCCCTCTTATTTTAAACAGTGGGAGCATAAATCGCAATAAATATGTAAGTAACCATGCCTTTACTTAAAATTCCAGTACCAAAAAATGGCGAATCGAAGACAGCGGGGGTGGGTTCGAGCTCTGTAAGCATCGGAGAGTTCTGATCCAATAACAGGCCTGCAGGCCAGACCTGGCTGCCGCTGGCCCCTCTGCCCAAGGCTGGGTCTAGAAGGACAGTCCTCACTACCACACCTGAGATACCTCCTCAAAAGGCAAATTCCCAGGGTCCCACCCCCCTTTTGTGTCAGCATTTCCAGATGTGGCCTAGGAAGCTACAGGCTTAACAGTGGACCCCGCATGATTCACATCATCATAGAATCCAAAAAACGCCAGGACCCATATTTCTCTGAGGGTAGTGAAAAGGCCATCAAAACCACCCAGAGGAGCCTCTTAAAAATGCAGATTCTTGCCCCCTGCCCCGCTAGGATCTACTGAATCAGAAATTCTGAAAGTGGGCCCTGGAATATGCATTTTTATGAGCACTCAAAGTTGCGCCTATGGGCTGATGTTTATTCACTGGCCCTTCTGCAGTGTGAGGCACAAGGTGGCCAGGTCGGACTGTCTGCTCAGTGTGGCAGGGGTGAGGGAAATGATTAAAATATGTATAGCCTTCTTCTATAGGCAGCTGAGCAGCACAAACCCGTCTACTACACAGGGTGTGGCAAAAGTAGGTTTACAGTTGTGAGTATGCAAAACACAGAATTTCTTCTTGTACTATGATTTATTAACTATTGTACTAGTATTTTCCATACGAACCACTGTAAGTCAACTCTTGCTCCCCCCTGTATGCAATGCTGTGTTGTAGAGTTCCTGTAAGTTTTTACACACCTCCTTCCTTCGGAAGCACTGCAGTGCTAACAGAGGGCTCCTTGCTCTTTTGGGTTGTTTCATAAGGTAGAATTAAAGCTTACAGATGTTTGTTTCCAAATCTCAGGACCCACTGTCCGGTTGTGCAGCCCCCTCAGCCTGTTCCATTACAGGGCCAGCTCTGGGGGCAAAGGCCTGGACCTAGGCCAGACTGGCACAGCACGGAAGGTGTGGAAATCAACCTCTCACAGTTGACATGATTCTACTGCTTGGACCGGTATTAATAATGGTCTCAGTTTTAGCTGGAAGTGAAAGACGAGGCAAAGTGCCCTTAAAGCAGTGGGGACGGATCAGTCATAGCAGAAATATACATGGCAGGGGGTGGGGGAAGGGGTCACATTCCAATTAAGGTTAGTCTTAATTGTCTACTTACCTGTATGTCTTAATCAATCCAGCCATCCACCTGCCTACCCGACATTCCAGAAATACACACATAGAGTACTTGCCAATGAGCCAGACATGTTAAGGAAATATGGGTGGGCCTACCTATTTCCGCTCACATCGTTTTTGGCCAGCGATCAGGCAGTGACTGTACGCTTCCTGATGCTGCATACACGGGTCCCTCGTAGCACCTGTTAAGTCTTCTGCCAGGCCTCGGACCCAGGGGCGCTGAAGTGGCCACCACCACTAGATCCCTCACAGAAACATCACGGCTGTGAGCATTCTTCAAGAGGAGGAGGGAGGACAGGTCCAGCGGCCTCTTCCCACCAGAGCTTTGGCCATGGAAGTAGTACTCCGGGGGCAAGGGGAAGTTTCCTGGAAAGGCAGAGGCATCGGCATTATCAGTTTGTGCTGCTGGACTCGCAGCCCCACTTTCTGGCAAAGGCCATGTCCGTCTAGGGTCTCCTGGCCTAAATCTGACTCAGAATCAGAATCACCCGTTGTTCCTTTTCTCCAAATGGTTTCTCTTCCCTGTTTTTCCATACCTTTTTTTTTTTAAGATTTTATTTATTTATTTTTAGAGAGGGAAGGGAGGGAGAAAGAGAGAGAGGGAGAAACATCAATGTGCGGTTGCTGGGGGTCATGGCCTGCAACCCAGGCATGTACCCTGACTGGGAATCGAACCTGCGACACTTTGGTTCGCAGCCTGCGCTCAATCCACTGAGTTATGCCAGCCAGGGCTTGTTTTTCCATAGTTAATGCCCTCAACTGGTGCATACTTAGCTGAACGGGCCTCAGCTGAATGAGGGTGCCTGGACATAGCATTCTATTTTAATTTTTCTTGTCTTTCAATAAGACTGGAGGCTGCCCAAGGACAGGGTACACCCCTCCTTCAGACTGGATGCTCCCCCCAAATTAGGATTGATTCTGTTGTTTCCTCCATCCCCTAAGCCCTTGGCACTTCCCTGTACAGGCTGGCACTCACGTGACTGGTTACTCAACAGCAGCTTTGAATTGTAGAGCGCTGGGGACAAGGAGAACTTCTCCCTCAGCTGAGCCTTGGTGAGTATCTCTGACATCAGATGCCGCTTCTTCAGGTTATTCTTTAGCAAAGCCCATCTCGGGTTCAGAGCCCCCAAGAAGCGCTGGGATTTTGCAGGCAGAGAAACTTTTGATATCTTCTCCTGGAGGAAGTGCTCGGCAATCTGCTGTTTCTTGCACGTAAAGGAGACCACCCTGCCTACCTCCGGGCTGCTGCGTTCAGAGCTGATTGTCATGATGGTGCTCAGGAGAGACTCGGGGGTGTCTGAGACCCGGGGAGTCGATTCCGAGGTTTCTGCTGAAGTTAAGGGCTAGAAGAGAAAACGATCCAAAATGAGACTGTGGAAAACAGAGGGCTCCTTTCCGTGTCATTCTTCATTTAAACAGGCTGGGCTGATTCTATCAGCAGGAAGATTGGGAAACAGTACGTTAAACGCTAGGGCAGAGGATGGCAGGGGACGTCCACAGAGGTTTCTCTGGAGGTCTTTACGTAGGGCAGAGGTTTTAAACACTAGAGAATGGTAATCAGAGAAACAGGTATTATTTCAGTTATTGGGCTGGCAAACATGAGAAGGTGTTGGGGGAATGCAGAGGCACAGGGACTCTCATACACTGCTGATGAGCATGTGGGCAGCCATTCTGGTGAACCATCTAGAAATACCTGGTCAAATAAGATTACAAATACCCTGTGACCAGCAACTCTGTTCCTAGGTATACATTTAAAATAAGATGTTAGATGGCTCCTTTTTAAAAATTATGTATGCCAATGTTCCCAGCAACATTATTCTCAATAGCCAAAAGCAGCCGGATGTCCACTAAAAGATGAATGGATAAATGTGGTATATAATGGAATACTATTCAGCCTTAAAAAAAATAAGAAAATTCTGATATATAACAGAACATGAATGAACTTTGAAAATATTATGCTAAGTGAAATAAGCCAGACACAGAAGTACAAATATTGTATGGTTCTACTTAAAGGAGGTACCTAGAGCAGTCATAGAGACAAAAAGCAAAATAGAAAGGAACAAAATAAGGCAGAAAAAACACTTGAAGAAATAATGGTCATAAATTTCTCAAATTTGTTGGAAGCCATCAATTTCCAAAACCAAGAAGCTCAAGAATACTAAATACAATAAATACAAATAAAACTACACTTGGACTCATCTTAATCAGAGAGCTGAAATCCAGAGATAAAGAGAGTAACCATTTGAAAAATGACACATTGCATATAGGGGACAGTGTTATCAATTAAAGAAGGAAAAAGAGAAAAAGAAGGGAGGAAGAAAGGAAGGAAGGAAGGAAGGAAGGGAGAAAGAAAGAAAGAAACCAGAAGATAGTGGAACAACATTTTTAAGTGCTGCAAGAAAAATAATGTCAACCCAAAATTCTAGGTCCAACAAAAATATCCCTCAAAGTAAAACCTAAATAAAGGCATTTTCAGATAAACAAAGGCAGAAAACTCATCACCAGCATATAGGGGTGCATTACAATAAATACTAAAGGGAGTTTCTCAGGCTAAAGAGAAATGACATCGCACAATAAATAAATCCAAAGTAAATAGAAAAAAAAAGTATTAATAAAGAGTAGAAATCAATGAAATCCAAAGTCAGAAAATGAAACCAAAGCCCAGTTCTTTGAAAAAAGTAAATACATTGATAAATTCCTAGCAACACTTACCAAAAAAAAAAAAAAAAGGTGAGAGATTAAATGAATTACCAATATTGGGAATGAAAGAGAGAGTCTCACTACAGATTCTGCAAACATTAAAAGAATAATAGAAGACTACTATAAATAAATTTTTCACATATACATACAACAATAGTTAAAACGAACCAATACCTCAAAAAGAAAAAATTATTCAAAATAAAAATCATAACTGTTAAAGAATTGAATATGTAGCTTAAGATATTCCAAAAAACAATCCTTAAGACCCAGATAGTTTCACTGGAGAACTCTAACCAAATATTTAAATAAAAATAATGACAATTCTACACAATCTCTTCCAGAAAACAAAAGAGGAAGGAACACTTTCATATTTATTTTCTGGAGTCAACATTATCTTAATACCAAAGAAAGACAAAGGAAGTAGAATAAAACAACTATAGACCAATATCTCGTATGAACACAGACATAAAAACCCTCAACAAAACTTTAGCAAATGGAATCCAGAAATGTGCAAAAAAGAAAAAATACCCTTGCCCTGACTGGTGTGGCTGAGTGGGGTGGGTGTCGTCTCACAGACAGAAAGATTGCTGGTTGTATTCCCATTCCCAGTCAGGGCACATGCCTGGGTTGCGGGCCAGCCCTCCCCATTGGGGGCATGCGTGAGGCAACTGATTGATAGTTCTCTCACACATTGATGTTTCTCTCCCTCTCCTTCTCCCTCCCTTGCCATCTCTCTAAAAATAGGTAAATAAAATCTTTAAAAAAATACCCATGACTAAGTGAAGTTTATTCCAGTGATGCAAGGCTGGCTCAATATTTTGAAAAATCAATCTTTGTAATCTACCATATTAACAGTCTAAAGTAGAATTGTATAGTTAAGACTTGAGCATTTCAAAATATATAAATTTAATATTTTTTAAAAAAGGAAAAATGGGGTTCATGAGAAAAAAATAGGACAAAGAATGAGATAAATAACCCAATCAAATTTAAGTAAATTTTAAATTCATGCATTTAAGAAATCTTTCCTTTGCAAAGAAACATACTAACAAAAGATGGTGGATAGGAGAATGGAGGTGGGTATCAGGGGAAATGGGGTAAGTACTGGGTTGGCCAAAAAGTCTGTTTCATTTTTTCCATAAAATGAAAGATACATTTTTTCATTTTCACTGATAACTTTATTGATTTGGATATTTTGAGAGTGTTGGCTATCTCTGGCATGGCATAACATTGATTATTCTCAATTAATATCTCAATTTGATCACTATCAACTTCAACTGGTCTACTGGTCTACCCAACTGTGGAGCATCATGCAGTGAGAAATCTCTAATGTGAACTTTGGAAGCCACTTTTGACATATTTGATTAGTCACAGCACCTTCTCCATACACTGCACAAATCCTTTTTTTGTATTTCAGTTGCATTTTTACTTTTCTTGAAATAATAAAGCATAATATGCCAAAAATGTTGCTTATTTTTTTCTATCTTCAATATTAAAATGGCTATACAAAAATACACCAATTTTTATTTTTTTAAATGTTCACTGATAATAACAGCTGTCAACAATACACTCTAACAACATTAAATTGTTTCCAATGAAGTTAAAGACAACTAAGTGCTACTAGAGCCATCTTATGGAAAACAACAAATGAACATTTTTGCCAACCCAATACATAAATAAAACAGGTAAATGTGTTGAATGAACCAAGTGTGAGGTAGCATCCTGAACCAAAGATTTTGATTGAATCAATCTCCTGCACATGAAATAAAAAAAAAGGCCCTGGCTGGTGTGGCTCAGTGGATTGAGTGCCTGCCTGCAAACCAAGAGGTAGCTGGTTCAATTCCCAGTCAGGGCACATGCCTGGGTTGTGGGCCAGGTCCCCAGTGAGGGGCAGGTGAGAGGCAACCACACATTGATGTTTCTCTCCTCTTTCTCCTTCCTTTCCCTTCTCTCTGAAAATAAATAAAACATTTTTTGGAAAAAAAAAAAGAGAAGAACCCATAAGGATTCAATCCTTATCTCTACTTATAAAAAGAAAATGTTGTTGCCCTATTTTTTAAATCTCTTAACAGTTAAGTAGTACTGCTTTAACGCTTACGTTCATGAGGAAAGAGCAAAGGCATGCTTAAGAAGTAGCAGTGATATTAAAATAAAAGCCAATGCTCACTGCATCCTGTGCGTCAGACCACACTCTGAGCATTTTCATGAATCCTTTATTTAATCCTCACAGGAATCCACTGGTAGGCCCGCCATTTTCTAGATGGGAAACTGAGGCTTATGGAAATTAAAGTGACAAGATGGAAGCCATATATATAATAAAAGGAGACTCCAGGTCCAAACTGTATTCTTTTGGTGCATGTGTGTGCTTAAAAAAACACATAACACAAAACTTGCCATCTTAGCCATTTTTCAGGGCACAGCAGCGTTAACTGCATGCCCATCGTTGTGCAACAGATCTCTAAACTCTCTAACTCGCAGAACTGAAATTCCAGACCCACTAAACAACCCCTCTTTGCACCGCCCCGCAGCCCCTGGCCACCACCATTCTCCTGTCTGTTCCTGAGAGCTGGACTGTGCTAGATTTTGCGTGTCAGTGGAGTCTGTCTTTTCATGACTGGCTTATTTCACTTTGGAGAATGGTCTGTTTAAGTCCTTGGCTTATTTAAATGTGGCATCATTGTTGTTCTCCAGCTGTAAGACTTCCGTACAGAACGTGGATACTAACCCCTCATCAGACATATGGTTTGCCAACGCTTTCTCCCATTCCACCGGATGCCTGTTCACTCTGCTGGTTAAGTCTGATGTAGGCCCCACTTATCTAGTTTTGCTTTTGTTGCCAGTGCTTTTGGTGTCGTATCCAAGAAATCATTGCCAAATCCAATGCCATGAAGCTCCACACTCTCTTAAAGGTGTTAATCCAACTGTGAGTTGTAAACCTATTAGTAGGTCATGAAATTAATTTAGTGGCTTGTAACAGATTATTTTTTAAAAGAATAAAACAGAATAGCACAGAATAGAAAATATCGAATGAGTCACAATATTTAGTATGGCGAAGCATTGTTTTAGAAGTTTTTTCTAGGCGTGTATATATGTGATGGACTACAAAATAAAATGGATCTCTACTGTGGGCTGTGGTTAGAACTTTGAAAAGACATTGCCTTAAGCTATCCTGCGCTTGGACCAAGCAAAGGCCCAAAGATGCTGAAAATCTCCCAGTAGTTACAGTAGGGTCATCACACAGCCCTTGGTGGGCCTAATTAGGGTGAACGCCAAAGGCCTGTGCTTCAACTGTCAGGGCCACATTCCTGGGGCAACTTAGTGTCTGCAAAAATAGAAAGTCAACTGTCACATTAAATTAATATTTTTGATGTGAATTCTATTGGCCTTGTTTGTTTTGATTTGGTTTTGTAGTTACATAGAAAGTATAAGTATAAACATTTTGTATCTGGTTTTATACTTGTATATATTTATAAAAACAATTTAAGTCTACATTGGGGATCTCAGTTTCCTTTCATTTAAGAGGTGTCCATACATTAGCGGTGTGTAAGAAACACTGTTTAGGTGGTATTGGGTTTAAGAGTGCCCCCTCCCCGAATTCATGTACACGTACAACCTCAGAATGTGACCTTAGTTGGAAGAAGGATATCTGTAGGTATAGTAAGTTAACACAAGGTCATAGTGGATGAAGGTGAGCCCTAAATCTGATGATCGGTATCCTTACAAGAAGGCCATGTGAAGACATACAGAGGAGAAACAAAAGGGGGAGAGTGCACGCGACAACAGAGGCAGAGGTTGGACTTATGTGGCCACAGGCCAAAGAGTGCCCAGGGTGGCCGGCAACCACCAATAATTAGCACGAAGCAAGGACGGCTCCTGGAGAGCCTTCAGATGGAGCATGGCCCTGCTGGCACCTTGTTTTCGGGCTGCCAGTCCCCATAACTTGAGAGGATACATTCGCGTTTTAAGCCACCAAGTGCATGGCAGTTTGTCACAGCAGCCCTAGGATTCAAACAGCGGCAGCCAAATCCCTGAAGCACACACTTTCCTGGGTCTGAAAAGAGGGAACACGTAGGACGGCCTTTCTAAAAAGCCTAAGAGTGTCGGTCTCTACTCCTCGCAGCTAGTTCCACAACTTGGACTTGGCAAGTGGGAAAACCGAGGCCCAGGGAGGGGAAGGAGCTCGCTCAAAGGGCCATGGGACATCAGGGGCAGAGAGGGGACAAGAAAGCAACACTCCCACCACCACCTCTCGAGCTCGGCCCTCCAGGTCGTCGACCGCTCCACTCACCACCGCGCCCGCGAATATGTTCACTGCAGAGGCAGACTTGGCTTCCTTGATGGTGAGGATGGGTTTACCGAGCTCCAGCCCAGGGCAGCTGAGAAAACTTGCGTTTCTGAGGTCGGGTACGGAGGAGCAATGTCTCGCGGATGCAGGCTTGGGAGGAGCAGGGTCATCCTCCTCCTTGGGGGCCTCCTGGTCAAGGCTGCTCTCTGTCTCCATTTTCTTCGCATCTCTGACATTCAAGAGCATGTCAAGGGCGCAGGATTCTAGTGCCAGTGGCTCGAAGGACTGGAAAGGAGGAAACCAAACACACAGCTCCTGGGAACCCAGCTCTGTCTACTTCCAGATTCATCTGCACCCAAGAGCAGGTGCAGAGGAGATGCGGAGGAGAAGGAAAGCGATCGGTGTCCAAGTCTCCTAGGGAGCTCATGGGTGGCTTCGTGGGGTCTTTGAACCACTTAAAGCTATAGCTTTGTATGCTTTATGGCAAGAGACTCCATAGCTTTCATCAGATCCTTGGAGAGTCTACAACCCCAACGAAGTTGTAGGAAAAAACGAAAACACAAAACCCCGTTCTGATCCTGTCCCTTCGGGTGAGTCTTTGAGAAGAAGGGGATGGACTGAAAATGAGCTGAATCTCTCCACTGAGCCAGAAGAGAAAGCTAGGCAGGGAAGGGGAATCCAGAGATTCAGATCATAGGACAACTGGCCCCCAGCCAGGACACGGCCCACACCTAGAGCCGAAAACAGGCGGGAAGGGCCTGGCTGTGGTCAGTCACCCGTGTAATGTTCGGAGGGTCCTGCCTCCTAGAAGCTCCTTCCTGTGGCCTCCTGTCTCAGCTGTGCCCCTGGCCTCCCGGAAGGGAGTGTCGCAACCCAAACTGGAGTTGGGGACAATGAATATGTGTAGTCCTGGAGCCCACTCTCTACGTGGGGACGCTGCTCAGCCTCCCAGCTCCTCACTCCTCCTGGAGGAGGCGAGAAGGACAGAGCAGTGAGCACCCACTCTGCCTGGATGGAGGGGTCCTCTGAGGGAGGCTGGGCTCCTTGTGACTTCCAGGGTCCCCCGCGGCGGCCCAGGCCTCCGCGCAGCCCCATCCCTTCAGTGTGTCTGGGCTCTCAGGAGTGGTCTCCTCGGCAACCACCCACGGATTGGCCCCAGCCGGGGAAGGGTGCTGGGCACCGAGGCTCCCCTCCCCTCCAGGTTTACTTGTTTGGAGGCATGGGTGGCAACGGCCTTGTGTTTCTGCCGTCGCGCCTGGTGCCAGCTTCTCAAGCCCTTGCCTCTCGCTTGTTCGCCTGCCGACTCCCCCTGCATCTCTGCCTTCTTCTCTTTCGTTCGGAAGGGCTTTTTCTCCTCTTTTAGCCTCAGCTTCTGGATCAGCTGCCTGCCCGTTGAGGAAAAGGGAGAGTCATGTGGGTTAGGGGTGGGCTTCCCGTGAGGGCATTCTCCTGGAGGGGTAGACAAGACCGGGCAAAGAGCAGAGACCTCCGCATTCTCCCCACCCCGGCATGTCCAGTCTGCACAAATGATTGGAGGTCACAGGACAGGAGGTGCGGGAGCCATCTGCTCGCACACCATTCCCAGGCTAGGCGACAGCATCCCTAAAGAGACGTGCAAGGATGGGACTGCACTCCACTCCGCCACACCTCCATCTCTCGCCCCACCGCCCAGGAGGCCAGATCCCACACATGGCACGTGCTGGGAAGAGGTCCGGGCAGGAGGCCAAAGTCAAGGGCTCCCACATCGGACCACTGCGTATCCTGGGCCTCTCTGACCAGTGATGTAGTGGAAATAATGTAGACGCATGCGTCAGGAGACAGGGGCTCAGTCTCTCTTCTGTCATTATCTCTATACGAGGTCTCCTCTGTCCTGCCCTCTCCTTCCCTGAAATGAGGTGGTGGGCAGGCACTGGACTGGAAGGCAGGAGTCCCCTCCAGCTCTCAGATTATATACCTGCATGAACCAGGAGGCAGCTCTGAGGGGCTGGGCATTCTGGAGTGGGGTGCGGGTACCTGTCTCAGGGGTGAATCTCTAGAAACAGCCACATATCTACTTAACACCCCACGACGGGGAACCTTCCAATTTCTGGTCCTTATGAGACCAAAGCAAATGTTTCCCTAGCCATGGGTGTAGGTCACAGACCCTCCTCGCGGCCCCAAGCCAGTCACCCCACAGGCGGAGCGCAACCCCCTCCACACTCCCGTTCCCCTCGAGGGTGGCTTCCTACCGGGCGTACAGCTCCCGGGCTCGGGAGGCAACCGTGTTCTGGAAGAGGGAGCTGTTGTCCTGGAAGAACTTCTCGTACTTCTCCGAACTCAGGCTGGGATAAATCAGGCGGAACCCTCTGCAGTTTTCCTTTTCATACTTCTCGGTTATCGCTAGACGCAAGGCCTGGAAACCCTTGACCTCCTCGATCCTGTGGGCAACCGGAACACAGGGCTGCGATGGGACCTGGCCCAGGGCTTGGGAGGAACATGGCCACCCTGGACGTCACCTAGGGCCAGGCGGAGGCGGCCCTGCACACAGCGGTCATCAGTCGGTCTTTCCTACATGTTTCCCTGAGAGGACGCTAGCCCCACCGGCACAGCCAACGCCGTGACGCACTAAGAGCTGATTAGAACGGTCTTTCCAACACTTCATTCAATTCTCTCCTGTCACAAGGAAAGCCATTTCCCTCTTGGCTTAGTTCTGACGAGGCAGACTGTCCCCACCCTCCCAAGTCACAGCCCCAGCTCTCCTGTCCTCTGGAGAACGACAGCTTGTGCTTTGCTAAATCTGAGGGGCTTCTGGGATGAGCTCAATGAGCTTTTATGAGCCATGATGATCTCATGCTTCCTCGCAGTCCCCTGGGAAGGTGGAAGCTAGGGGAGGAGGAACGGTCAGTCCCTCTTACAGCAGGGACACCAAGTGCCGCTGAGCCATCCAGGGCCAAGTCACGGGGAGGAGGAAGATTCAGGACAGAGCCCCGGCTGCTCTGTCACCGACGCTGCCTCCTCCGCAAGGAGCGGAGAGGAAGCTGGCACGGTGGAGGCATCCTAGCATCCCAGGCCACACGGTCCTTGGGCTCTGGGCGCAGACCTGCACTGACCATCGAGGTGACCCAGTGCAAGTCAGTTCTCCTTCCAGAGTCTTTGTCTCAGCTGCGCAAACAGGACCGTTCCACACCTCACCTGCCTACCACCCTCCTAACGGCGGGGGGGGGGGGGGGACGGTACAAGTGACAGCGCTCTGAGAAACACAGTGCCGTCCGGACCTAGATGCTATCGCCCCACTCCCAGTTCGGTCTCGGAGGAGGGCCGCACGTGAGGAGGGCGGGGGCCACAGTGGGGTCTGAGAGTCAGCACGGGCCTCTCCTCGCCCAGCCTCCGCGTCTTCTGACGCCACGGTCACTCTGCAGAAGAAGGCCTCTCTGCAAGGCACGTGCTTCCCAGCGGGGAGCAGGGACACGCTAGTTCCTGCCGGCGTAGGAACAGGGGGTAGGACTGACGAATCTTTCTCTTTGTAAAAGTAAAGGGATGGTTTTACTTTTTTTTTAAATTGTTGTTCAAGTACCGTTTTCTGCCTTTTACTCCCATCCCAGCCCACCCCCCCAGGTTTTCTTTTTGTATTGGTAACCCCTGACTCTTCATATGATATTAATAAGCTTATATATATTATATACAGTTATGTCTATAACATAAGTCTTCTAAAATAGAAACAAAGGAATATTCACAGTAAAACGATTCAAACTGCCACATTCCATAAATATAAACTAATTTTCCGAGTAGGATAATCATTTGTAAGAGCTGACCACCCTCCCCACCAATTCCAAGCAAGGTTCTTAATAGCCTCAAGCACAAATTACAGTGCCAGGCATTATGCTAAGCCTTTTACACACATTATCTCATTTAATTCCCCCCAATAACTTTACGTATCATTAGCTCCATTTCACAGAAAGGACGTCGAGGCTCCAAGAAGTGACATAAAGCCACGCAAATGGTAGGCTATCGAATCATAACTTGGACCGGGACAGGCCAGTCTTATTGGGAGTGGGGAACTCATTAAAAGAGGGGGTCCCTGAGGGCAAGGAGTGCCCCTGTACCTGCTCTCCCGAGAACGACACTGCTGCAGGAACCGCCCCCGTTGTCTCTCCTCCTCCAGGACTTTCTTTTTGTCACAGCTCCCCAGGTTGATCAGGACCAAGGTGTCATACAGCAGACTGTCCTTCACCTCTTTATCCAAGCAGGAGTCCGTGGAGAAGCTCGGAGAGTGGTTGACCTGTGAGGGCAAGACGGCAGCTGGAGGCTGGGCTGTCCAGGGTGCAAGCAGAGAGTGAGGCCCAAACGCCACCTGTGGGGAGCTACCTAAGCCCGCCTGGGGGCCCCGGCTACCAGGATGAGCGAGAGGGAGAGAGGGAGAGAAGGTCTGGCCTGGAGCCACAGGGAGGAGAGGAGGAAGTGGAACCCCCTCTCGTTTAACTAGCTTTTATTTTGGTCCTTTCTTCGTGAGAAGCACCAGGCAGGGCTCCAGCCTTGGTCTCCCCTCTGTCGTGTGTGTGATGACCTCTTACTTGCACTGTGCCTCCACAGGGCCAGGCGGGAGGGTCAGTCCACAGGGCCAGGCGGGAGGGCAGGGCGGAGAGAGGAGTGATGCATTCTGGGCCCTGACCAGGGTTGCGGGGGAGACAGGTGGGAGAAGGGAGAGGACTCATCCCTGCTCACGGAAAAGTCCATGTTGTTCAGAGGTGCTATGTGACATTTGAGGATTTCTAGCAGTTTCTGCAGGCTTGCTCCTGATAGCTAATTCTGCTCTTTGGGTAAGACTGTCAAACAGCCATATTCCCACCCATACCTGGGAACAAAGGCTGGGAGGGAAGGAACGGCAGAGCCCCAGGGACCTGACCTGTAATTCTGGGTTCTCTGCTCCGGGGGCCGACTAGCTGGCGCTAGCATCTCTGACTGGTACCACCCCCACCCCACCCAATCTGGAAAAGAGACGGCCACCAGAAGCTTCTCTTCCTCCTCCTCCCACCACCCTGTGGGCCTAGGGGAAGCAGGAAACTCACTGAGTGGCCCCCCACCCATTCCTGTGGCCATAGACACCAGGCCATTCTCTATTAGTGTTTGGAGCTGAGTGGTCCAGTCCCCTGAGAGCCAGGCCTGACGGTTCCCATCTGATCTTCAAATTCATCAACCCAGCTTTTTAGCTTTATTTTTTATTACTTAAACATTTTTTCAGCCCTAGCTGGTGTGGCTCAGTGGATTGAGCACCAGCCTACAAACCAAAAGGTCGAGGGTTCAATTCTGAGTCAGGGCACATGCCTGGGTGGCAGGCTGGTGTCTCTCTCCCTCTCTTCCTCCATCCTTTCCCCTCTTTCTAAAAATAAATAAATAAAATCTTTTTAAAAATAAAAATAAAATTTCTTTAAAAAATTTTTTTCTTTCCTCACCCAAAGACATATTTATAGAGAAAGGAGAAGGGAGGGAGTGAAATATCAATAGAGAGAGAAACATCCATTGGCTGCCTCCCATACATGCCCCACCTGGGGATCGAACTTACAACCTAGGCATGTGCCCTGATCAGGATCCAACCTGTGACCTTTCGGTCGATGCTTCAGCCAAATGAACCATACCGGCCGGGGTCATCAGCCCAGCCTTGATGAAGAACACTCCCTTTCCGGGAGACGACTCAGTTAAAAAGACAGAGCTGTCCTTAGAGCCACTCTGCGCCTGAGATCAGCGTTTCCGAGTCTCCGTGAACCTCAGAGAGGCACAGGGAGTTCTCCAATTCCCGGCCATCTACCCCCCTCTGGTGGCCACTTCTCACCTAAGGGCCAAGCCCCAGGCAGCAAGCACTGTGGGAGGACCCGTCGAAATTCAGTCAATGAAACGGATCTGGCTGAGCTGGGCAGGCGCAGAGGCGAGCCTGAAGCTAGCTGACCCCAAGAACAGCGGCCAGTTTTCGCCCCTCGCCCAGCCTCCCTACCTCCAGCAGCCAGGGCTTGAGTTTGCGGTCCAGCAAAATGTCGAAGCCCAGGATCTCGAAGCAGGCGCTGTTGAGCGTGTGGTTGGGGAAGCAGGTGTGGTAGTTGTGCTTGATGACGGGGTAGGCGGAGATGATGGTCTTGATGATGACGTCCTCGATATCTCTCCATACCTGCTCCATATTGTAGCCGTGGCTCTCCATGTACTTGTTGAAGGTGGAGAGCTTCCTGGGGGGCGGGAACCAAAGGCCAGGATGAAGGGCAGCTCACCTCTGGTCCTCTAAGGCCGCGGCACCAGAAACTTCTGGGGAAAGTAAGGTGCCAGCGCCCATGGGGATGGGCACCCAGGAGCTAAGGCGTCACCAGGACTATGTCAACTCGGAAGGGGCCTGCGGGAGCCTCAGGGCCACACTCCTCAGGACTCCACAGCCCGGGAGTGGGCACGGATATAATGAAATGTAAGACCTGCCTGGGCACTTTCACTGTGACCCAGAACATAGTGAAGATGATGAACACAGGGGAGGTAGTTGATATGAAAAGTGGATTGTCTCAAAAGATGAGGAAGGGAAGGAAGAAGAAAGGTGAAAGGAAAAAAAGAGGGAGAGAAGGGAGGACTCTGCCAGCAACAAGACCCAGAAGGCCAGGGCAGCATTCTAACCTTCAAGGAGCTCAAGTACAACAGGGGACACACGACAGGTATGTGTACCAGGCAAAGGGCAGGTAGAGGCTCCGGCTGATGTTGACCATAAGGGCGGTGGGAGTCCAAAGGTGGAAAGGTCACCGTGGGTGGCTACACTCAGATTTCACAGGCTTGTCCTTAGAGATGGAGCCCAGTCCCCTCCCCTGCTAAGTGAGGACACAGATGCTCGCAGAGAAGATGGGTTTCACCCACCCTGCTGCGGTTCTGTGGCTGGACCAGAGCCCAGAGCCCAGCACAGGAGGCAACATGGAAGCTTAGGGAAACAGAAGGGCCTTCGAGAATGTCACCCCGTGTTTTCCATCAGAACTGAGCAAAGGCAGAGAGGGGGGAACGAGTGAGGACTATGTATCAAATGTGAGCTAAAGAGTGTCCTGCCCTGGCTGGTGCGGCTCAGTGGATCGAGTGCCAGCCTACACACTGAAAGGTCGCTGGTTCGATTCCCAGTCAGAGCATATGCCTGGCTTGCAGGCCAGGTCCCCAGTTGGGGTGTGCAAAAGGCAATCGATGGACATATCTCTCGCACATTGATGTTTCTCTCTCTCCTTCCTCCCCTTCTTCCCTTCTCTCTAAAAAATAAATAAATAAAACATTTTTTTAAAAAATAGAGAGCATCCTGGCAGAACTCCGTGGATGAAATAGCACAGGCAGCGGTGCCCGGTGGTTAAGGTATGTCCTCAGAAGTTGTTATTCCAGCTCCACCGCTTCCTAAAGGCGCCACCTTGGGCAGGTTGCTTGGCCTTTTTACACCTGTTTCCTAATAGGTAAAATTAGGATGGTAATAATACAGTGTGTTTGTGAGGATTAACTGGATCGAGGTATGCAGCTTTCTGGCCTACAGCAAGTGCTCAAAAAATGAAATGTTGACTATTAGTGTAATAGTAAGAACAGTGGAAAGTGGGGTCTGGTTAAATTACAGTCGTTTGAACTTGATGTTCCAGGCACCGAGGAGCCACACTGCTTACTGAGAGTGGAAGTAATGAGCACACGGAATATGTAAGAATAACAGCACCCACTTGCACAGGGGTTATTGTTTTTTAAAGCCCATCCATACGCATCATCTCAATAGGTCCTTACAGCATGTGTGTGAGGCTGGCCAGCCAGGATTCTTATTTTATTGCGTCATTTTACAGGTGAGAAAATGAGGGGATGGACAGGGCAGGCAGAGGTGCCCGGAGCCAGGGGGGAAGAATGAGGAGGTCAACGCAGGCCTTGGGTCTAGGGCTACAGTGAGGTCTGGGCCTGGTGGAAAGAAGGGGACAAAGGGACATTTGAAGGAGGAATGTTTACGATTCAAGGACTTGCTGGGACAGGAACCTTCCAAGATGACACCAGACTCTGACGCTGCAGATGACAAAGTGCAGAAGGAGAAGCTGGGCGGGGGAAGCTGTTTGGAGCACTGAAGCGGGGAAGCCGGGAGAGGGGACGCACCCGCAGGGGCTGGGGGGGGCGGGGGGGGGGAGCTGAGCCTGAAGCAGCAGGGAGCATCCGCCTGCAGCTGAGATGGGCCTGGAGCTCAGGGGACAGCGGCCAGGCCACCGAGGACAGGGTGGGGCGCTGGAGGACAGCTGACTGCTCCGGCAGAGGGGGTGGATGGAGACGATTGGGGGGGTGAGGTCAGGCTGAGAGAGAGGTGAGGAGAAGGGGTGAGAGGAAGGAAGAGGCAGGCAGGAGGAGGAAGGAAGGCAGGGCTGCAGAACAAGACCACCCTACGCCCTCACTGCAGTCCTGACACTCCGTGACACCCCCGGTCTCGAGGACCCCAAGCGTGTTGTTGGAGCGTCAGTTCTCACAAGAGGAGGGAAACGAGGACCCTTCCGTGATATGCCCTCAGACTAAGAGAAAACAGAATAACATGAACTACACACACTGCCCGTGTTGCTCTCATGGGTCATTTGAGTTTCACTGTGTCCCCATGAGGCAGGCGGAGCAGGGGATATCGGGAACGGAGCCTCATCACCTTCCTTTTAAAAGCCAAAAAATGGAGGCTCAGAGCGATGAAGGGACTTGCCCGAGGTGACTCGGCGGGCCAGTCGGAGAGGGGCCGGCAACCAGGCCTCACCGAGCACCGCAGCTCCACGGGCAATGGCGCAGGAGGCTCAGCTGGTGCCCGCAGCCCCGGCGGGGAAAAAGGGTGGGAGGGCTTCGGGCTAGACGGGTGGCTGGTGCCTCCTGGAAACAGCTGGCCACACCCAGCACGTCCCCTTCAAGCAGGCTTAACCTAGTGATTTTCCATCCGCTTTTTGGAACTCTGCCACCGAGGGCGTCGCCACATTTCCCCGTGCACCGTGCCTCTCAGATGCTCTGAAGTCAAACAGGTGGCCCGTTTATCAGCCCATTGAATCTGGTGCAGGAGAAGGAGCGAGTGCCCTGGAGTCCGGCAGACCCACCTCCTTGTCCCGCTGTCGCATTTAGAACTGTGTGAACTTGGGCAACTCACTGAAGCTCTCGGAGACTTGGTGTCTGTATCTGTAACATGCAGATGGTGCCTAGCTCATAGCTGTCACCTACACAGGGTAAATTATAACACCTCTGCCACAGCGTTGTAAACATTTAATGAAAAAAAAAAAAAGAAAAAGCTGCACGCAGAGCACCCAGCTCAGGCCCCAACACACAAGAGGCCTCTACAAATACTGCCTCTTACTTTCCCTTCTGTCTGGTCATATTCGCATTCTTCAGTCTCCCTTTCTCTTTAAACCTCCAGTGAGACCTGATTAGATGATTAGACGGCAGTATGCACATAAAAGCTGCTCGGGAAGATACTCACGCATTCCTCTCATTTTTTCCCTCCTTCTGGGGAATGAGCCAGCTAGTCGCATGCCATGTCACACCAGGCATCGCGACACAGCGTTTGGGAATCTCTACTGGAGCAACACCCCAGGGAACCACAGGCTGAGGGACAACCGCCTGGCGTGCCCCTTTCCCGAGGAGGGGCGGCCGTCGGTCAATGTTGGTTGGTTCGGAAATGTCCGAAGGGCCAGCGGTAACAGAAGTGAGCCTTGGGGGGTGTGTGTGTGTGTGTGTGTGTGTGTGTGTGTGTGGTGTACCCTGCTGGGGAAACAGTTCACGTTTACCTCTCCTCCTCCCGTCCTCCTAAGGTTTACGACGTGGCCTTCTTTTAATGATTAACCGCCAGAGGGCAGAGACTAAGGAGCCTGTTGTGGGTTTAGAGGCAAAGAAATATTTTCTGAGAGCATGTGACCCACGATGGAAGCACTGCGGGGGACTGGCAGGGTCTGGGGCAGAACCCCCGAGAGCAGCCCCGAGACTGGCAGGGAAAGGGAAGAGACGTGAGGCCACTCGCTTACCTCTTGCTGCCAGAGTGAGCATCTTGAATGAAATTGGAGCTGTGCTTGTTAATGGAGTAGTTAGTCAGGTGCATGCAGACATCATCCTGGCGGAAGAGACACAAGTCTGTGGGGTCAGAGCAAGGGCAGGCCTCCCACTTCCTGTCCTTGCCCTCCCACGGCCCCTGAGGCTTAAAGAGATGGAGAAGAAAGGGGAAGTCCCAGGGCTTCCTGAAAGTGGCAAAACAGAGGAAGTAAGAAGGGGTACCCTGCAGTATGAGAAACTCCTGTTCCTCCGAGGTTGGGTGGTGCCCTGCCTGAGGGACATGTCAGGGGTGTGGGACTATAGCACTGGCTTTGCAGTCAGGCAGACTTGGCCTTGAGTCCCGGACTGATCTCTTCCTAGTGCTTCGACCTTGGACAAGCCCTTCTGCCCTCTGGGTTTCCATTTCCTCTCTGTAAAGGGAGGTGATGACCCCTGTTTCTGGGGGCTCCAGGGAGAGCTAAAGGAAAAAATGTATGCAACCCCGCACATGGTAAGTGTTCAGCAAGTGAAGGCCAAGGCCACGTTTGTGCACGTGGATTTAACTAGGACTTTGTATCACGCTAAGGGAGGAGGGGAAGGCGACGTGGTCCCCGAACTCACCAGGTTTTCTGTGCAAGGGTGAGAGTAGGAGGTGGTGGCGAAGCGGGCCAGTCCTTCGTTATACGTGAAAATCCTGAGAGGGTCACAGGACGTCATCAGCACGTAAATTCGTAGGTCAAACTTGAACCCGTCAATGATAAAGGGCTGGGAGGGGAGAAGAGAAGTCACACAGGCGTTGGAGGAGGATTCGGACTCGAAGATCATTAGCGCCCACCTAGTTCTCGCGGCGTCGGCTCCGACGTGGCCTCTTGTTCGAGAGTGCAGACTTGGCCAGGGCTGGGGGCGGGGTGCGGGGGGGTTGGGCTCTGTGACCCGCCACATGGCCTCGTGGAAGTCACTAAACCACACTGTGCCTCAGTTTCCTATTCTGCCAAATGGCCTGAGGAACTGCCTCCAAGAGAACTCCCATCCGCTAAACAAAATAACATTAAAAAGTCCTGGGATAGAGAGCATGTTGTCTCCACCCAGGGCTATGCTGTCGTTGCAGTGCTGACCTGGGCGCTGCCACCCAAGCTTCCCCCTCCACGCACACTTCCAGAGGGCTCCCTTCCGGCCGTGGGCGAGACCGCTGTGCCCTCTGACCTCCAGTCACGGAGTAAAGCAGGTCACCATGATCTCTCCAGGACTCCTCTCCTCTCCCCAATGACCTGGGGCCCCCACAGATGAAAGGCGCTCTCTCAGCCTTCGTCTGTTAGAGGCAAGGGGCCAGCCTGGCAGGGCCAGACCGATGCACAGGGGTACAAGGATGAGGGACACTCTGGCCCAGGCACATGTCACATCCCTGGTCAGAGGCTTGGTCAGACAAAGTCCAAGGCAGAAGGCAGGACTCAGCTTTACAGCCCGCCCGCCCTCCGTTCCCTCATTTCACATTCGGTCCAGTGGAGCTACAGCCGGAGGCCGCCGTGGCGTAAAATAACTAATCACGATGAAGAAGTACCTTGGAAATATAGAGCTGACAGATCATGTCCTCCCCCGCTTTGATTTCTTTCGCCGTCCGGGTGATGAATATACCTCTCCCTTGGCAGCCCGAATCCGGCTTACAGATGTATGTCTTGTTTTTTCTTGACCTGCTGTAGTTCTGCAAATCTCCCCAGCTACCAGAACAGGGAGGGAACAAGATACACTCTTAGCTGAGGAGCAGTAAAAAGGAATGCTAGCTCTTTATTTAAAAAACAAACAAAAACTAATGTGACGAAAGCCTTGCACTTGATAGGCAGGCTCCCAGAGGTCCGGTGATCGGAGAGACACTCGCAGTGGAGAGGAGATGGGCTTCCGAGGGAAATCGGGCCTGGATGGAGCCCAGGCAACACCCTGGCCAGCGTAGCCCTTTGCAAGGACCTGACTTCCGTGGGCCTCAAGTCCGTCATCTGCACCACGAGGACAATGACACCCATCTCGTCCCTATCATCACGCAGGCAGCGTGCTGGTGCATACTGCACACCCGTGACATCAGGCGTGACCAAGGAGTTTGATTTTCTGGGCCTGCAGAGCGGAGATCTGGAGTTCTGGCTCTGGCCCCAGCCCAGGGGGGCGGCCCTGGGTCAGTCTCTTGCCCCCCTCTGGGCTCAGAACCCCCCCATTAACATCTCCACTCCAGCCGGAGTGTGAGGGAGCAAGTACTATTATTGAAGACGCTTTGCAGAAAGTATATTCAGAAGAAAGAAAGAAACTTAGTAAATGGTAAGTCTCAGTCTTGCTCTGTTTCTTGATTTGCCTTTGAACTCAAAGGACCCTTGTGACCACGGGAGAAGTCACTCAACTGCAATGGTCCTCGGTGGTGACGAAACCTGGAGGCGCCTGCTGACCTGACTGATGGCAAATGCATTTCCTTCTAAGGTGCTGCTGAGCCCTAAAAGTTGTTCCTGACGAGCGAGGGAACCCTGAAAGCACTGGGCGAAGAGGGAAGCGTGGGTGTCTCTGGGGCCCGTGCTATATGAGTACAGTTCTGAGGGTGACACTCAGCGTCCCCTCCACCTCATCTCAAAAACCAGACTGTACTCAGTTTGTGTTCATGTCATCTCACGTTTCTCCTGTTTCTTGGTGGTGTAGTCCAGAGTATGTTATGCACCAGGAATGGATGTCCAGTTTCAAGATGGGCAAAGTGAGGCCAGAGGTGGGGAAGCACTGACCGCCACCCACGGCACTGCCATGGGGACAGAGGGCAGGCATGCCGCCTTGCTCCTGACCTGGGCATTAGCCGTCACCTCCCTCCCTGCAGAAGTGCCCATGGTCCTTAACAATCCAGAAACTATATCGTTAAAAGGCTGAAACAAATTCAAAATCAACAGCTTTCAAAGTCAGGATTCAATTCTCATCCCAACAGCGGGCTCAGGCTCCAAGGCCACCAAGCCTTGAATGTCATCTCATTTTACAGGCAGAGCCTGGCGTCTCCTCAGCCTCGACCACACCCTACCTCCCTTCTCTTCCTGAACAGGAGAGAGAGAGAGAGAGAGAGAGAGAGAGAGAGAGAGAGAGAGAGGGAGATGGCAGATCCCATGGGATTAAATGGACCAGGGGCGGGCAGAGGAGAAGGAAGCACGGTGGGCACTCACTCGGCAGGAAGACACCAGGTCCGAGGGAAAAAGTGGAAGTCTTTAGGGAACAACTTTAACATGCGGCTCATGTTCCTGGCCAGCAAGTCCTTGCGGCAGATTTCACTCATCCCCGGGAAGTGATTGATTTTCTGCAAAGGAAGCCGGAATCCATGAACAATGGGGGACACGGCAGTACCTGTGAGATCCCCTTGGGGACCACGGAGACCCCATGGGGTACATGCCACACATTTGCTGAGAACCGGCTCAGACCCAGATACCTGGTAACTTTTCATTTCCATCACCCGCTCCAGCGACACGGAGAAGTCGGTCCAGTACAGAGTCCAGTCCTCGCCCTCCCCGCCCTCTCGGAGGCCGTACTGCTGGGCAGCCCTGCGCACTGCCGAGGGGTTGGGGGAAGAGAGGCCTGTTAGCCCGGGGAGTGGGGGAGGAGCACCGGAGGGACACACCTCGGCCCCTGGGGACCGAAAGCCACCCTGCCCGGCCCGGCCCCATCACTGCTGTGACAGAAACACAGAGTCGAAAGCTCTTCAGGAAGACAGCCCCCCCGCCAACACACACACACAATCCCCACAGGTGGTTATCCGGGGTGAATGTTTCATCCGCCCTGGCTTCCCCCTGCCAGGGAGTAGGCCTCTGGCTTTCCCCCAAACACGGAGCCCTGAGTGTTCGGGGAATAGAAACCTAAATCCTTAACATCAGCCAGAGCCCAGCTTAATGAGTAAGGTGAACTGGCAGGAAAAACAATTACACGACGTATTTCAGAACCACATATATGCTATCACACCCCCTTCCCCCTGTCCCTGTTAGTACTGATAACTGATTCCAACACCAACTCGAATGCCTTCCGGGGCCCGGGGAGGAGCAGTGCCCGCAGTGGCCAGCGGAGTCAGGACCAGCCTAAAGCATCCATACTGGAAGTTAAAACAACGACAACTCCGTGCTCTGTAGTACAGAGGAGACCTGCAGGTCTCTCCAGCTCACGGATGGCCAGGGTGGGACCTGTGCTCCAAGAAAGAGCCGTGGGGTCAGCCGGACCCCCTCACAACCACGTGCAAGAGCCAGAGACGGTTGGAGTACACGTCCCTGTGGTCGAGCCCACGTGTTCTGGGAATGAGCTTCCCAGCTCCCTCAGATGGTTAAACGAGCTGAGAGAAGCAAAGAACGGGATTTGGAGACCCCCCCTTTTCATCCTCAAAAATACGTAAGAGTGACCCTTCCCAAGCCTTTGGGGGAGTCCAGTGGGTCCCCCATCGCAGATTCCTTGGATGCAGACGCTCACCACTCTCATATCGGCAGTTGGCTAGATTGATCACCAATCATCTGGAAAAGAGAAGAAGAAAAGCAGCAAGACAGAGACAGACACGCTTGCCAGAACAGGAGCGAGCACGCAGAGACGTCCAGTCCCAGGTGGGGCTGCGTGAAACCCACCCCTCCACACACCGAGTCTTTCAAAAACAATGAAAGGCAGTCTAAACACAAACAGAACGAGGACTAGTGCCAGGTGTGGTTTTCGATGACATGCACCATCATTTCATTCCATAAAACAGAGGATCAAATGTGGGTTCTTTTTATGTGAACCGAAAGTGGTGTGGTTTTGACAGTCTCACGGGTTTCTCTTCTCCCCACGCACTAGCAGCCAAGGCCCCCTCCCTGCTGAGTCCCTCCCGCTCTTACCAATGTGGGTCCCCACTCCCCCTCTTTCAATCCTAACCTCTTCTTCTTCTTCTTCTTCTTGCTTTGCTGCTGGGCATTCCGAAGCCCCCTTTGCGCCTCGGATTTCCCTCTCACGAAAGCCAGGGTGACGATTTCTTTCAGCTCTGCTATGCAACAGTCCTCCCTCCTTTCTGACTCGGTCCCTTCCTTGCCTTCCAAAGGCTGCCGCTGGAGCATCTCCCAGGACTGGGAGGAGACTCTGGGGAAACGCTGGCCCCCCTGCTGGAAAGAGGGCAGAGAAAGCGGCAATGACTTGGATCCACCTGCAGGGGGACCCCCTCCCTCGCTCACGGGGGTGGTCCATCACTGCGGAGACGAAGCAACAGGTTGCAATGTATAAAAATGCCACCACACCTCCACCGCTGGTGCAAGGCTCCAGAAGGGAGCTGATTCTACCTTTCGCTACTGACTATAACCTTGGGGACTCAGTCAGCCAGCCCCGGCCTTGGTTTTTCCCTCCTGGGGTTGCCACGAGCAGGCTGAGATGCTGCTCTGCGTGGCACCACCTGATAAACAATCTTCTTATTAGTGAGTGTCTGGAGACAGCCTCAGAACGAAGGCCTAAGCCTTCTTAGGTGGCGGAGTCAGTCCCAGTGGGTGCAGATGAGGTGCTTTGAGGAGGTCTGTTAACCGTTTCCATGCGGCACGAAACCTCCCGCACGCCATCAGCTGGCCTGAGGTGAGAGCAGCCGGTGCTGGCCCGGTGCTGGACCGAGTCGCTGCTGACCTAACGAGGTCCGGACCGGGGGTCCCATGCAGAGCTCCAGAGAGCCCGACCACGTAGGAGCCCACGGCATCTGCCTGACCATCCCATTCAGAAGAAAAACAAGAGCACTTGTCAAATACCGATGAGGCAGTCCAGCCAAGTTCTCATTCCTCCACCCCCCACGATGACTTCTTTGATGCCTGCTTGAATTTCAAATATCACGTCTTTTCTAAAATGTTTTTTAACATCCTGCCTCAGTAATCCTTAGAGATGTGCTTCATTTGCCTCTGGGTAACTCAGAACTTCCCAGACCCAAGGGACTGATTTTTATCCACGTCAAACCCAAGGTTTTGAGCGTGGGCTGCGAACCAAAGTGTCGCAGGTTCGATTCCCAGCCAGGGTACATGCCTGGGTTGCAGTCCATAACCCCCAGCAACCCCACATTGATGTTTCTATCTCTCTCTCTATCTCCCTCCCTTCCCTCTCTAAAAATAAATAAAATCTTTAAAAAATTTTTGTTTAAAAAAAAAAACCCAAGGTTTCCATAACCATCAAGGCTGTTTTCTGGTGTTCACCCTTCCTCGCCTCGCCTCCCAAGCCCTGCCGACCTCCGCCCCATTTCGTGCCTGCCTGCCTGCTATTGACTACCGGTTCTCCCCTCATGGACTCTGCGGCTTTTTGAAAAGACATCAATATCTTTATCATAATTCAAGATTACCATTCTTGAAATACTGTAACATTAAAGAAAGTTTAGGGAAGGGTAGGGAGAGAAATCACTTTTAGCTTCCCTAGCCTCACACGGCACCTTTGGCCCTCTTGTATACTCTCGTTTATTCATCATTTCTAAGCATAATTATTCTTCTATAATTGTAACAATAACATATGATGAATTTTGAGTCTGCTTTTTGTCCACTTAATAGCATATCCTAAACATCTTTTCGGTGGTGGCCAAGTACACATTTCTAGTCTTTAATGGTTGTGTAATAGTACCCCGCTGAAGGGACGTGTCTGAATCTAATCGACAATTGTCCTGGGGTTGACAGTGTAAGTTGCCTCCAATCTCCAATTTTATTGTTACATAAATAGCTCTGAAATGCACACTTCCGTGTACAGGAGTCCTTTTACTTTTAAGGATTATTTTCTTAAGATGTATATCCAGAACGAGGATTACCAGGCTAAGGACTATGGAAATCATGGAGCTTATGAATAATACGTATTTATTTCTTTATATCACTGTGTTGTTTCCCGGAGGGATTCCGCCAGCCTGGGCTACAACCAGCAATGCGCAGTCGCTGTGGGCTCCCCAGAGTCACGCCCGTCTCGTGGGAGTCACCTCTCCTCTCTCCCCAGACCTGCTCATTCTAGACACTTCTTTATCCCTTACAGCCATGTCTCTAACAACACCCCACCTTTCCACCTCTCTCTGCTCCTTTCCCAAACCAAAATTCGGGCAAGGGGGTCTGTAACCTATGAATAATTTTTTTCATATTTTTAATTTTTTAAAGAACATTATTCTATGGATTAAGTTCTTTTTTTAAAGGATTTTATTTCTTTATTTTTAGAGAGGGAAGGGAGGGAGATAGAGAGAGAAACATTAATGTGCAGTTGCTAGGGGACGTGGCCTGCAACCCAGGCATGTGCCTTGACTGGGAATCGAACCTGCGATGCTTTGGTTTGCAGCCCGCGCTCAATCCACTGAGCCAAGCCAGCCAGGGGCTATGAATAATTTTATAATAAACCCTTCCATTAGCTTTTCAAAGACTTGCCACATCTCTTGAATGCTCACAGCTCCCCTACCCCTACCATAAGAAGGAGGCAGAATTATATACTATAATTAAAATATAATTATTATTATAAGTGGTTTGCCACGTGCTGCTCTCTCTTGCTGAAGAGGGCTGCCGCTCACACCCTAGACCCTGCACGGTGGCGCCCGGGTGGGGAGAAAGGGTTGTGTGCGGTGCAGCTAACCGCCAAAGCCGGGGCCTTGAGAGTCGGTTTTTCCCCGTGAATAGGCACATTACATTCTTGGCAAAGTTCAAGAGGGCTAAGTACCTGAAATTTTAACCTTGGGCTGCTCCCTTCCTTCCAGGTAAACAGCCAGCTCCACTCCCCTTGCCGTGCACAGCAGCTCCTGTTTACCCAGCCCTTGGGGAGGAGTGGCCCCGTTTACCTAGAGGTTAATGTTAACCTGGGGAGAGAACACGGACCCTGAATTTGGCCTCTGGAATTGTGGGCTGTCTTCGCCCTTTTGCCAGTCCTTGCTCAAGTAGTAAGAACAAGTCACGGCTGCTTCTATTTGTCTGCCCCAAGCAGGAGAATGACAAATGGTTAACTCTTGCAAGAGAGAGCCTCAGGCACCTACAGCAACAAACAGAGCCCAAGTACTTTTAAAGGAACTGGTTCACTAGTGTTCTTGCCTACCTTTCCCTGAGCCGCTTCGATGGCTCCTGAGACAGGTACAAGGAGGCAGACAATGGTCATTGCCTCATGTGACTGTTTTTGCTTTGCTTTTGGTCCCCTGGCTTCTCCTGTGCCCAGTCTCTCCTGCCTGCTTCATCCCGGAGGCTAAATTCTGCCAGCTTCTCTCCCAAGTCTTCCGAAAGAGAGCGTCTTGCAGAAAGGCTGCCTACGGGGGTTTGCATCCTGAGTGCAGTCTGCGGAAACACTTACTCAGCCCATAATGATGTGCCGTTCTTGTTATAGCTATTAAATAGTATTTACCAATGACTAGAAAATGTAGATTTTTTTTCATAAAAAATCCAGATTTCCATTCCTTTCAGAGAAATAGGTCCCTATTGCTTCATGTCAGCAAACAACCACAGCTGAAGAATGGCTTCCTTTTTAGACATTCTCTGAGTTTGCCCCAGTCCCTACATTCCCTGCGGGCGGTCTCGCTGATACGGAAGCCTGGTCACAGCTGCCCTGGTGTCATTGTTTGCCTTGCAG